CCGGCCCCCGGCCCAGGCCCTAGGCCTGGTCCTCCCTGGGGCCCGGCCCGCACTCACCGTTCATGAGGTCCAGGATGAAGCTGAGCTTGTCTGGCGTGTGGAAGGCGTACGACATGCAGACGATGAACGGACAGTCCTAGGAGGGGAGGGCGGTCAGAGGAGGCCGCCCGCGGTTCCGGGCCAAGGCTGCCCCGCCTGCCCGGCCCGCGGCTCACCCCGGTGCTGACAAGGGAGAGCATGATGCGCTCGTTCAGCGCCAGGGTCTCGCCCTGCTTCATCTTGATGCGCTTTTTGTCCAGACACTTCATGGCGTACCTGAGGCGGGCGGGAGGGACGCGCGTCACCACCCACCTGCGGTGCAGGGCCCCAGGGCTGCCTCTGGGGGCGCAAGCGGGGAAGACAGCGTGTGACACAGGGAGGGTAGGAGACAGTACCAGCAAGCTGGGCTCTGAGGAGCATGCAGGGGACAAGGGGGGACCGCACAGGGCCCTGTGCAGAGGTGGGCCCAGCCATGACCCCGAGCCCAGGCACTGACCACCCCACACCGCTATTCCTGAGGATGTCCCACGCCCCAGGGACCCCTGCCCTTCCCCTCCAACCCCCATGCTGGCCAGGCAGGGCACTTACATCTTGCCCGTGTCGGCCTTCCGGCACCCGTACACCTCGCCAAAGCCCCCGCGCCCAATGATGCGATGCACGCTGAAGTCGTTCATGGTCAGCTGCAAGGTGCCAACAGCTGGGGTCATCGCAGGCTGCCGGAGCGGGCCCGGAGCCAGGGTTCCCATACCGGTGTCCTGGCCACTCTCACTACACCCTACCTACCTCCAGCCCTACGCCCCGCCCCTGCTGGGATTCTGGCATGGACCCCCATAGCCACTGCCCCTGGGCCTAAGGGCAGAGGTCCTGGCCTCCCCACCCCAGCCAGGCCGTGGGCCCCAGGGAGGAGCAGGGCCACGGCCCGCACACCCCACCCGGTCTCACTCACATGGATGTTGAGTTCCACATTCTTCCACTGGCAAAATCGTGTGAACTTATCGCTGGAAGAGAAGAACGCCGGGCTCAGGGGAGATGCGGGAAGGGGCTCGATGATGCTGGCGTGAGCCTGCTCCACCCTGCTGCCATTCCTGGGGTCCCATGAGGGGCCACGTGGACACGTCCCGAGCCTAATAACCTCTTCAGGGATCCCGTGGAAACCCACAGCACCAGCCCATCTGTACTCGGTGCCCACATGGCTGTGGGCTCCTGCCAGGCTCAGACCAGCCCTGAGAGGAGGGCTTCTGGTCTACCCCAACTTCCCGTTACCACATCCTTGGCAAGTGCGTATCCCATCCCTGCTTTCCTACCTGCAGTGACACATGGACACCCCAGGGCTGGGCAGCTGTGACCCTACAAAAGCTGCTCTTTATAGTGACTGTCCAGGACTCCCACCACCCGGCTGACCCTGGCAGTGAGCCCTCTCGAGCCCACCCCTACAAGGCCCTACTTAGCCCTGGTGGGCCCGGCAAGGTGCTAGATGGTCCATGGGAGAGGGGGGTGCACAGGTGGTCCCCAGCTCCCCAGAGAATCACCCGGGACAGGCTTTGGGCTGCCTGGAGCTGAGAAGGGCAGGGCGGGAGACGTCTGGGACCCGTCTGACCTCTCAGGAGTCCCTGCAACGGGGCCCTGGCAGGCCAGGCATTCGCTGCTCAGGGCCTAGGGCAGGCTGGCCCTGTCCTCCACACCAGCCACACTCCTTCTCAGAGCAGCCTCGTCCTTCCCTGTTCTCCCACACCGGCCCCTGCACTCACCTCTCAATGAATTTCTGGAACACATCCCCTTGGAGGTTCTGGCAAATCTCTTCGATGTATGGCTAAGGGAGGAAGCTGGGAGTTGGTGACTGAGCCCCTCGGGACCATGGCTGCCCAGGCTCGTTGACCTGGGGCTCCAGGGTGACCCCACCTGGGTGAGGGCCAGGAAGGCAGCGGGAAGTCAGCCTGGCACGCACCTGGAAGAGATCCGGAGGCACCTGCTTCTTCATCAGGTGGCCCTGGACGTGCTCGGTGGCACTCTTCGAGAAGGGCTGGGGAGGACACAGGTGGCCATGAACTCTCCGCAGGGTCCTTTCTTCCCTCCCCACCCCCGGGTGACCCGGACCAGCATGCAGGTCAGGGCCCGAGAACACTCACGTGCGAGCAGGCAAGCAGCTCTTTCATGATGTATGAGTCGAATATCTCCCGGCTGCGGGCCACGCGCTCGTCCTCTGTCTCGAGCTTTTCGTATTTCTTGATCTGGGGGACAGGATTCCCACGGGTGACCCATGGCCCACAGGACACAGGGTCACCAACGCCAGGGATCTCATGGGTTCAGTGGAAGTGGCCCCAGCCTCCCCTCCCCTCCCAGACAGAGCAGGGCCCGGTCCCACCGGGCCTCACCTCCTCATAGAACTCCACCAAGGGCTTGGCCTCCTCCAGATGGTTCAAGCAGAAGTCTCGGAAGAGCAGGTACCCTGAAAGCAACCATGTTGGGCTCCACTGAGTCACACGTCCCCTCAGAGGCCTTCTTGTCACTGTGGATGGCATGGGCTTACAGCTCCCTGGGCAGGAGTGGCCAAGGAGGTGGCAGAGGTAGTCTCTGTCCCAGGTGGGGTTGGTCAAGTCGGCCACCAAGGCTGCCACCAGTCTGAGGATGCCTGGATTCTAGGTCAGGGCCCCTGTGTTTCCAGCCCCTTCCCGAAATCTGCTTCCTCAGAGGGTGGCTGCAAAGGGACGGGTACTGTGGTGAGCAGAGGAATGGGGCTGGCTCTGGTATCAGGAAGCCCTGGGTTGGCACCTGGGCCCCCCTCGCTGCAGCCCAGGACCTTTGCCTGTTCCGTGAGGCCGACACCACCCATCAGGGCAGGCTGTGCAGGCACAATGAGATCACATCTGGGGGCCCTCCGATGCCCCGGGCATCTGGGCCAGGTCGGGATGTAGCATGGGGCGGAAGGTGGGCACGGGGCACAAGGAGGCTCTGAGGGGCCTTGCTCCTCCTCTGGACCCCTTTCCCCAACTCCACTCTCTGGCTGGTTCTCACTGCAGCCCTGAGAAACAGGCAGGGAGGGTGGGACAGTTGGGGAAACAGGCTCAGGGAGGTCTGTCCGACAAACAGCGTGCGGCAGAGGCGTGAGGAGAACTCAGGGCCTCTCCACCCAGTAGCAGGTCCCTGGGAAAGAGGCCAGGGGTTGGGGCCTTGTGCAGGGGGCACAGAAGGGTGATGGGCTACAAGGGCACGGGAGAGGTAAGGGGGGCTACAGGTAGGCTTCCGTGAGACCCTGGATAGGGAGTGGGGTCCGAGACCTGGTCCCAGAGCAGCTGCCACAGGATGGAGGAGAGCTAAGAACAGCCCTGCTCCCTTCGTCGGCCCTCCAGTGTCTGATATGAGAGACCAGGCTCACGCTGGGTGGCTTCCCACTGCTCTCTGGGGGCACTGCCTGGGGCCCTCTGTGAGTTTGTGGCTGCAGTTCTGGGAAGTACAGCCTGGCCTTCCAATACAGCGCCTCGAGTTACCGGTACACAGGGCTTCGCAGTGGGCATAGTTATCTCAACTGACCCTGACAGTGCTGGGCGGCAGGGCTCACGAGTGTCGTTTCCCAGATGAGGACACCAGCAGGCTCAGAAAGGCAAAGCACCTCGCCCAAGGTCACACAGCACAGGCCTGGGACCCAAACTGTGTGCTTCCTGACTCCCCAAGGCTGACCTCCAGAGTCTAACCCCGGAGGACCAGGCCGCTCCCAATTCAGAGCTGAGATCCTTTTCTCAGGAGGCCAGATCAGAGCCATGCGTGACTGGACGGAGCCTGCTTCCCTGAGATATGCCCCAAACCTGCCCTCTGGTCTACAGGATGCGTCACATGATACATCTAGGACCACAGGCACCAGACATGGGGAGGAGGAAGACCAGAGGGGCCAGCGAGGCAGGTTGCTCACACGAGGGCCTGCGGGGCGGGGGTGGCCAACCACAGCTCTGCAGGCGCCACAGGAAGGGCCCCGCCTCTTCCTGTCAGTTCTACCAACGGCCCAGAGCAGCTGCGGCCAGCGCCAAGGGGAAGCTGCAATTCTCAAAAACAAAAACCCCAAAGGAGGAACTTCCCTGGCGGCCCTGGAAGACCGCGGGGCCCCCACCCCCACTCCCACCACGGGGCTCCCCAAGCTGACAGCCAGGGGCTGGGAGGCACAACAGGCAGGGCCTGATCCACAGCAGCCCCTGCGGCCACCTGGGTCTCGCTGGCTGCCCTGCCCGGAGTGCCCTGCCAGACCTCCTGGGAGTGGGGAGCACGGCTGGGCCGGCTGGGGTCGGGGCAGGAAGTCAAACCCGGGGCTGGCAGAGCCGCTGGCGCACTCACCCAACTTCTGGGAGAAGATCTTCTCGAAGGTCACCTCGCCCCGGTCTTCCAGGTACTTCTGCATGACACTGCGAATGCTGTGTGACAGGGGGGCGTGGTGAGCAGAAGCCCCTGGAGCCCCAAGGGGCTGCAGGTCATCCCCAGCCAGTTTCTCAGTAGGGCCAGAAACCTGAGCTGAGGGCACTGCTGGTGGGTGTCACCGCTCTCTCTAGGAAGGAGGCCGCCCGTGGACCTGCTTACGATCCTGACCATAGGTTGCACCAGGGGACCCAAGGAAGTCTGTGCCTTCCAGCCAAAGCCCTGTCCCCCAAGGTGGCCAGCAGATGGCCTCTTGCTTTAGAAGCCCATCGTCTGTAGAAGTTTGATCCCAGTGCTGCCTCGTGCTAGCTTTGAGGACTTGGCCAAATCACAAAAGCCAGGTCTGGCGCAGGAGTGGGAAAAGAGATTGACAACATGTGGCACGTCCACGTGATGGCATGTCGCTTGGCCATGACAAGGAATGAAGCACTGGCACACGCCACGACATGGGTGACCCTTGGGAATGTGATGCGGAAAGAAGCCAGTCACAAAAGGCCACATGTTGGAGGAGTCCATTTACATGAACAAGTGTAGAGGCAGAAAGCAGATCCACGGTCGCCAGGGGCTGGGGGCAGGAGGGGACTGACTACAGGGGGTGCAAGGTCTCTTTCGGGGGTGATGGAGGGTTCTGGAAATAGACAGGGGTGAGGGCTGTACAACTCCTGAGTTGTGCCCTTTAAGGGGATGAGTTTTACGCTCTATGAATTGTATCTCAATTTTCTAAAGTGTAACCAAACCAAAAAAAGCCAAGCTTCAGTTTACCTGTTCCTGATACATGGATAAACCATGTGACCCGTGCCCTGAGCTGCTTGGAAAGGCCATAGAGAAGGTCCTGGACATTGTGGCCACCTCAAACCCAACAGTGAGCACTGTCTAGGGGAGTCACACCAGCTTACAGTCACATACCGGCTCACATGCCACCTTGCTGTCCCCTCTTCCCTCCTCCTGGGCCACCTCCAGCCCAGCCCTGCCGGCCTGTCCACATCTGGCCCTGGCTAGTCTGGGCTCCTGGGTAACACTTAGCTGAGGGCATAAGCAGGGGCCGTCACATCTGAACCCATGTCATGTTCAACGGTCCTGTAGGATACGCAGAACCACCAGCAGCCCTCCCAGAAGAAACCACAGCTGACGGGAATTCGGATTCGCCAGTCTGGGCTCTCCGTACTCGGCATACACCGCCTGGTGCGCTGGCCCGGCTCCATGCCCCCGGGGCCAGCCGGCCTGGTCACCCAGCCTGTGGTCACTTGAAACTCACTACCCACCCTCCAGGCAGCCCTGCCCAGGGTGCAGCTCTGAGCCTGTGACATCAGTCAGCGTGTGCAGGAGCCCGGGGTGGGCCCCAGTCAGCGCGAGGAGACACGGGAGGGGAGGAGGCCTCTGGGTCAGGGGAGGCTGTGTGAGGAAGGCCAACTCCGCTGGGTTCTGAAGCACAAACAACATGGCGGCAGGTGGGTGCACGTGGGGACAGGCGGGGACCATCTGCTCAGAAGTGAGCAAGAGGCCAGTGGGGCAGGGAGAAGGACGCGCCACGGGTATAGCGGGAGGTCAGGGCCTTGCACGCCAGGGGCTCCAGAGCCAGGGAGCAGCCCTAAGAGCCAAGGCGGCAGGCGGGCCATGCCACCAAGGGCGCCATGGGGAGGAAGCGCAGGCAGACGGCGGCGACACTTGGCCAGGAAGGCGGGAGAAGGCGAGCGGGAGGGAGAAGGTCCAGGCTGCTGGGGGCCAGGAGAAGCGTTTACAAGGACAGCCCTGCGAAGCTTCCAGGCTTTGGGCCCGGAGGTCTGAAAGAACAGTGGCTCTAGCCAGGGTCTCCTGCCTGTTTCTGCTGGGCACTGTCCTGAGAAGGGCCAGAGCAGACTCCCGGGCCCTGGCCATCTCACCATCTCACCCGGCTCAAGCCTCCCTCAGGAAAGGCCATGAAGGAAAACAGCACACAGCGCTGCCATAAGCCCAATTCAAACCAGGACCCCCTCGCCTGCCCTCACCCGCAGAGGCTGGGAGGTTCCGTGACCTCTCCCAAGTTGACTCCAACAGGAAGTAGGGCGCTGATGACAAGGACAGGCCTGGGCAACCCCATGATGGCATCCGGTGACTCTTTCAGGGCAGAATTCTGCCCAGCTGGGAAGAATTCAGGGGCCTCCACACTGCCCGTTCAGACCCGGCTCCCTCTGGTACAGCAAGGACACCCTCCAAGAACTGGCAGAAACACCGAAGCTAAGATGGGCCACTTGTCCATACTGGACTCCCTCACCTTCTAAGGGGCCACATACCGGCTCACATCTACCAGTTACCAACAAGGGCATGTTTCTCGGTTTGGGGAACTCCCGGGGACACAAGAGGCGGCTGACAGGTGGAGAAACCAACTCTCACACGGGTGCTTTGCACATGGCAGGAACTTGGGGCAAGTCACTAAACTGAGACGCCCTCCGGTCTGCAGTCCCAGGAGGCCCTCAGGGCACAGTCCATCCAGTGCTCCAGATCAATCAGAGATGGACCAGGAAGGTGCAAGGCCCAGATCTCACCTGCAAGGTGGACCAGGGAGGCGGGACCTTCACCAGCCTTGGTTTAGCTCTGGACACTCTGCTTCTGTTCCCAATTTTTTTTTTTTTACATCAGTCTCACTCCGTCGCCCAGGCTGGAGGGCAGTGGCACACTCACAACCAACCTCAACCTGCTGGGCTCAGGGGATCCTTCTGCCTCAGCCTTCCAAGTAGCGAGACTACAGGTACACACCACCATGCCCGGTTAATTTATTGTAGAGATGAGGCCTTGCCATGTTGCCCGGGCTGGTGTCAAAACTCCTGAGCTCAGGCCATTCTCTTGCCTCTGCCTCTCAAAGTGTTGAGATTACAGGTGTGAGCCACCACGTCCGGCCTGTACCCAATTTTTGAGTTTTGGGGTTTTTCAGTCCATAGAAGGAGGATGAGAAAAACAAAACAAAACAAAAACAAAGAAAAGAAAATCACAAAACACCCATCTTCCGTGGCAGTGGGTGTGATCAGGTGCTGGTCAGGCGGGACCTCCATGTGACAGGCAGATACAGATGACAGCTGTCTGGGGTGTTCCCACAGGAGCTGGGTATGACCCTAGAACGAGGGCCACAGGGCCTCACTGGTAAGCCCCTTTGAGCCCAGACTTGCTTCCCAGCTTGGCAGAGGGAACAGCCACCAACGAACCAGGCAGTAGACACTGACACTTCCCGCCACGTGACTCAGAGTGGCCGATAACTAGACACGCGAAGGTCTCCGAGGGGAAGACTGCCAAAAGAGACCCTGCCTACAACAGCCAGAGGAACCTGCCGGGCAGGGCCTTCCCCCTTCCCGAGGGCTCTGCTGGTGGCCCAGGGAACAGCAGGAAGCAAGACCCTGGGCTCCAAGGCGGTACCCTCCCACCCGCTGCCGCCCCAGAAGCCACGCCTGAGCGTGGCCACAGCATTTTTCCAGCCCACCATTTTTCCAGCCCATAGCACTTCACTTTCTTCCTTAAAAAGAGCCGGGCTCTAGCTGGGCTCGGTGGCTTAGCCTGTAATCCCGCGCCTTTGGGAGGCTGAGGTGAGTGGATTGCCTGAGTCCGCGGGTTCGAGACCCACCTGGGCAGCGAGACCTCATCTCTACAATAAATCAAAAAATCAGCCGGGCATGGTAGCGCGTGCCTGTAATTCCGGCTACTTGGAAGGCTGAGGCGGAAGGATCGCCGGAGCCCAGCAGGTCGAGGCTGTGGTGGCTGGGAGCGGCCACTGCACTCCAGTCTGGGCGATTGAGTGAGACTCCGACTCAAAATAAAAAAGAGCCGGGCTCGGTGGCTCAGCCTATAATCCCAGCACTTTGGAAGGCTGAGATGCGTGGATTGCCTGGGTTCGAGACCCACCTAGGCAACTTGGCGAGACCTCATCTCTAAAATAAATCAAAAAATTAGCCGGGCGTTGTAGCACGCGCCTGTAGTTCCAGCTACTCGGAAGACTGAGGCGGGAGGATCACCAGAGACCAGCACGTTGAGGCTGCGGTGACCTGGAGTGGCCACTGCACTTCAGTATGGGTGACAGAGTGAGACTCCAACTCAAAAAAAAAAAAAAAAAGGAAAAATGTTTTTTAAATAAAATAAACAACCCCCTAAAAAAAAAAAAACCAAACACAAGGTCAGGTCTGAGCAAGATTCCCTGAATGGAAGGCCCGCTAAGTAGCAATTTTAGGGTTTCCTGTCTATCCCCAAGGGGCTGGCGTGTCACTAGGGGAAGCTTCTGTCAGGAAAATAAGCACGGGTGGGCACGGGAGGCGGGGGTGGCCTCCCAGGTTGGGTCACCTTTGTCTCCAACACCTGCCCCGATACTGGCAGAGGCTGGATTGGCAAGGAGCCCAGAGTGGCATCCTTGCCCCCACCCAGCTCAACACCCTGAGATCCAGGAGCATGTGGCTCTCAAGATCCACTCCGGATTGTCCAGAGAACCGAAGGGCATCAATAGACCAGACAGAAGGACCCAAGGGTTCCCAGTCCCTCTGAGGAAGGGCCTTGGAGCCGCCTCTGTGCGAGCAGTTGGACGAGTGCCCAGGCCTGGGTTCCAAATGGCTCTCCCCACCTCCCTCCCTGGAGGCCCAGTCACCAACTTTAAAGGTCTAGTTTCCCCATTTGTAAAATGAGGATGTCAACAAGAAGCTGAAGTGCCACCACCGCGCTGGCCATTTAAAAAGCCTGAGAGGGGCTGGGCACGGTGGCTTATGCCTGTAATCCCAATGCTTTGGGAGGCCAAGGCGGGAGGACTGCTTGAACCCAGGAGTTTGAAACCAGCCTAGGTACACAACACAGCGAGACCTCATAGCTATAAAAAATTAGCCAGGTGTGGTGGCATGCACCTGTAATCCCAGCTACTCAGGAGGCTGAGGCAGAAGGACAGCCTGGGCCTAGGAGGTTGAGGCTTCAGTGTGTCATGATCATGCCACTGCACTCCAGCCCGGGCAAGAGAGTGAGACCCTGACTCAAAAAAAAAAAAAGTCTGAGAGGACAAAGCAGAAGGGGAGCACTCCCAAGATGCCAGGCTAGTTGGCTGTACTGGCTGTCAGCCGTGCCCCACCTCCTGGACCACGGGCGAGTGCTGTCCAGGCCCTGCTCCTGGTACCCCACAGCTCCTTCTAGATCAGCATCACATGCTAACTGGTCTTGTTCCACACTTGTCATGTCCTCAGAGGATGGCGCCTCGGAGGATGGGGCCTGAGCCCGGGCGGCCTCCTGCCTGGCCGTGCACCGGCCAGGCCTGATCGAGCAGAGTGGCTACAAATGCCCTTGCCCAGAGGCCAGCCTCATGTACTGTGCCGCTCCACCTGCAGGCCCCGCTGGGCAGAGCCCCATACCTGCCCTGCCAAAGTATCGAGGGTAGCTTGGCACTGAGGCACTTTAGGGCTGCTCACACTGGCTCCTGCCACTTTGAGGACCAGATCCTGCCACTGGGGGAGAGGACACGTCCTCACAGTGAGTGGCTGAGACCCTGAAGGTTGGGTGACCGGATGGCAGGCAGGTAGGGAAGGAGTGACTGCTGAGAACAACTTCTGGCACCTTACGGTTCAGAAGAAAAGCAAGGTTGGCAGGTCTGCGGTACAGCAGCATGGCAAAGTGGTCTGGGCCCCCCCACGTGGTTCCCACTCAGGGCCAGAGGCTGTGTGGACAAGAGGGGCCAGCAGGAGTCAGAGGCAGACACACTCATACTGATGGTGAAGAGCTCACCCAGAGGCCCACAGTAGAGACTGAGTGGCAGAGAAAGCGTCCAAGCCCTCCCCAAGAGATGACCTCCCACCATAAGTCAGAGGACCCCAGCTCAGGTTCAGCCTCTGCCGTGGCTGGCTGCCTCCTCCTTTGCCCCGGGAGCCCAGACGAGAGGCAGGCCAGCAGCCATGGTTTCTGTGCCCCTCGAGTGACAGAGATGGCCAAAGCCATCCCAGGACAGCACACGCCGGCACAGAGGCTGCAGGGTGGCAGCCGTGGTGTGCCCGTACCGAGGATGGCCACACTCTGGGAGAGGCAGCTTATGGGCCAGGGGAGCAGGGTGGCTGCAGTTGAGGCACTCCCTGTGGCTTTTCCAGGAAACCTGGCACCCAGGTGGCAGCAGGAGGAGGAAGTCCCCTGGGCTTCTTATTAATATTTCTCAATGACTTTCCCTGGGGCTGACAACATCCTCAGAGCTTCAGGATGGGGCCACATACCGAACGCAAAAGACCAACCCAAACCGTCAAGCTCGGAGCGGCCCTGAGCAGGGGACAGAAACGCTGGCTGGCCCAGCACCCGCTTTAGCGGCCCAGATGCCCCGAATGCCGTGTCGGCCACAAAGTGGCTCCCCTGCGGGATGCTCGGGAAAAGACACCTCTGGTGGCCTTGGCAAACGTCACAGCTGCTTCACGAATATGACATGAGCACCCATGCCCTGCAGCTTACTGCACACATCTGCCATCACATTAGAATGCACCAAGAACAAACTTCCAGAACAACTTGCCCTGCAGTTCCCAGGAGGGGACTGTCCCCCATCCCAAGCCTAGGATGGCCTCAAGGGTCAGAGAACTGCCCCTGCTCAGGGAACAGAGCTGTTAAGGCGCTAATACCAGAAAGCCCACTTCTGCTGGCATAGACACATCCCTTTGCAGTAACCAGCAAAGCGGAGCTGGGATGTTCCTGTTTTAGAAAAAAGCTGCAGCCAAACACCTCATTTTTAGTATCTCGCTTGTAACGGATTAGAAATCACTTGACTGTAACTCCATCCAGAGGAGGCAACTGACCCGTTCGGAGCTGGTGGACGGCAGGGAAGGGGCCCGGGGAAGAACGGCATCGCGTTCCTCAAAGGCCATCACGTGCTCTTGGTTTCTGCTGTTTGTTCCATGGCACGATCATAAAATCCTGGCAGCAACAGCCATGCGCGTGTGGCCTGAACCCACGGCCCGAGCTCAGCCCCTCGGCCAAGCCCACCTGGGCGCTGCCCGCGCACAGGGAGAAGACGCTGGCTGCGGAGCGTGCCTGCACCTGACATCACCAGGAACTTACTACTTAGGCATTGATTGTGCATTAATAGGACGCATCATTGCGGGCTGACAGAGCCCAGATTCCCCTGCACGGATTCCAGCCTGCAGTGCTCATGTTCCCTTCAAATCCACGCACCCAGGGAACGGCGGGCGGGCGACTTAATGGTAGAAACGGCGGGCGGGCGGGTGACTTAATGGCAAATCCGTGAAACCCCATGCTCTGGAAAGGAAAACAGATGGGAAAAGACACCCCCGAGACCCATTCCTGGGGAACAGCAGCGCTTCAGAGGCCTGGAGGGAGTGACTGCCGAAAAGATAATCTTGTTTTCAGGGGCAGGAGGGAGAGAGCGTTGCTACTGGAGTGGAAAGTTCTGGGTAAGGGATAAAAGCTGGAAACAGCAGGGCTTCTGCTGGTGCGGAAGGCGTGGAGGGAGGAAGGAGGGAGAAAGCCTTCCGCTGCACCCCCTCCCCCACAAATCGAGGACAGGAAGTCCTGGTTGCAAGGAGTTAACAGGAACGAAGCTGAGCAGCGGCAGAGGAACAGGGGCAGGGTCTGGGGAGATGGGGAAGCCAGAAGGGGCAGGAAGGAGGAAATTCGCCATGGGGGAGGGACCAGGAAACAGTCCAGAAATCGAGGCTGCAAGAGGCACCCGCTCTGACAATCTGCCCCTGGGGCTGCCACTGTCACCCGGGAGGGCAGGGACACCTCCCGGGACCGACCAGGCAGGGCTCCTCAGCTAGGAGTCCAGAGATTAATTACACGAGGCCTCACTGGTCATATTAAGCAAATGACGATAATTACAAGACTGCTGTCTGCTGCAGCCACTGCCGGGAAAGGGAGACAGCAGTTCCCCGGGTGAGGCCCAGACTCTGAGAATGAAGGGGAAACCCCCTCATTTTACCGAGGTGGAAACTGAGGCAGGCCTAGCCAGGCTAAGTTCCTGCCCGGGGCCCCTGTGAGCTGGTATGGCAAAAGGAGGAGACACCAAGTCTCCCGTCTTCCATCTACACAACGCTGCCTCCTTGGATGAGAAGGTCGGGCAATGGGACTGTTTTCTCTGATTCTATAGGGTGACAGAAGGGAAAGTCACTGTGCCAACTCAAAGGGGCACTGTGCCCAACCGCTCCCGGTCCCCTGCCCTGGAAAGGCAGAGCTGTGATGCCAGCCCCAGCTCTTGGCCGAGGCACAACCAGCCACGGGAGGCTGCCAAGACGGACCACCCCAAGGTGGGAACACCTCCCAGTGGCACCTTGTCATGGGGGCAAACCCCAGCCTCTCTCTCCGCCCCTGACCTTGTGGGTTTGAGGAAGACAGGCCCCTGGATCCGAAGGGACCCCCGGTGTGGCACTGATCCCTGTGCACGAGCTTTGCCAGGGCAGCTCAGTTCTCTGTCCCAGCCAACAAGGAGGGAGCTGGGCTTTGTGAGCCGTGACAGGTGATGCAACGGGGAATTGCCCCGCTGCTCTCTAGAGGGGGGCCAGCTGGCCCATGCCACAAAACGTGGACAGGGGTGAGAGCAGAAATATGCAAGGATGGGACGACACAAGCAGGAAAGAGCACTGGCCGGGGGTCCAGGAACCCAAGGCCAATTCCAGCTCTCCTTTGTGATGGGGCAAACTCCTCCCCTCCCTGGGCCTCAGTGGCTTCAACTGTTAAATGGGGAGAATGCCGCTTGCTGGGCCTGCATTCCCACACTTGTGAAGAGGACAAAATGAAGTGAAAAGCACTTTGCAAATCGGGAAGAACCCGGCAAACGGGAGATACAGTCACAGTTGCCTTCAGGGCTGGGAGGCATCAATCCACTGGGTGTGCAAAACATATGGCCAAGGGTACCGTGCTCTCTGGCGCCGGGGGCCAGGATTCCAAGGCAGGGGAGCTCGCCATCCTGCCCCGGCCTTAAGCCCACGGATGTTCGGTGCCAGTGCCTTCGGTCCATGTCAAAGGTGTGGGCGGTGTGCCCCATGTCATCCTGCTGATGGTGACCCCAGACGAAACGTGTGCTGCCTGTCAGTCTCCTTCCTGCTGTTCCCCGAAAACACACGACTGACCTTGTCTCCGCTCAAGACTAGATGAGACATCACACAGTCCTGACATTTCTTGAGCAACTACTGCATGCAAGGCACGGCCATGCCAACTTCACAGGTGGGTTTCTGCGTGAGTTGAGACGATAGATGTCAAAATAAATAGTAAGTTCATGCAACTTCCGCCATCCTTCCTATCACCGCCATCACTACCACAGATGGTAAAGGGGGCAGGAAAAGAAGATCATCTCGTTTCTCAGGGTGCTAACACCTGCCAAGCCAACCCAAGGTGGGGCCCCATCAGCAGCAATGCATGCTGGGGAAAGATTACCTAAACCCAGAGAGTTCCAGAAAAGGCCCCGCCTCACACTTTGCAGAACTCCAACCTGCGGGATGGTCTTGAGGCTGCGGCCACCAAGGAGAGCCGTTTTGAGCCCCAGAGGTTGACTCCCCCGTTTCCTCCCTCGTGGCTTTGTCATTTCTGAACTCATTTTTGTACTATAACTGTCGCGACTCCCTGGACAGCCCCCAGCTGACAGTCAGTCTGGTTCCTGTTTTGAGAAATCTGATTGCAAATGTCTCAGAAAAAAAAAAGGGGGCCCTAACGGCCTTTTCGAAATACAGACCCGTTTTCCTCTCCCAGGCCTGAGATTCAGTCAATCCGAAACACAGTGAGCGGGACAGGGAGAAGGGGGCTGGTGACAGTCACCAGCATGGCACCCCTGTAGCTTTGGCCAGGCTGAGACAGCTGCTTTAAAGGCCGAGGACACCTCAGAGTCACAGCTCTTACGTCGCGCTACCCACATTTCACAGATGAAAAACCGAGGCCCAGAACAAGAAAAGACTTGCCCAGAGTCACACACTAAGACCATGGCGCAAGGACAGGCCCTGTCCTCTGCCCGCTGGGGTACCAGCAGGTCAGCCATCAGGCATGCATGAGGAGTGGCTGGGACTGGCCTTGCCGCCTGACACAAGGACTCATGGTGGGCACACCTGCTCCTGTAGACACGGGACGTCCAGTCCCCGGCTCGGGCCACAGTGTGGACAAAACCAGAAGTCTGAGTCCTGATCTGGTGGCCAGGCACCACCTGAGATTACCTGTGTGACACTCGGCAGTCCACTCACCTCGGGCCTCCGCGGCCCCCCCTGTTCCATGAGGACAGAGCCACACTGTCCTACCCACCCCGCGGCGGCTGCGAGGGCCCAAGCAACGGGGAAATAGCCGCAAAACGCTGGACAAGCCACGGCTGTCACTCACATCCTGCAGCTGCTCCACCTACGAGCAGTTTAAACTTTGGTAGGAGAGGCGCGACGTCGGAGAGGGGACAGCTGCGGTCCAGATGCTGCAGGTGTGCGGGGACGCGCCCTGGTCGACAGCACCCGCAGGCACCCACCGCGGGACCCCCGGGGAGGCACGCGCCCGGCGAGGCACGCTGGGCCGCCCCACCCGGGCGCCGCTGGGCGGATGGG